GGAAACTATGACGTTCATTCCTGTTAATTATGGATCTTAATCTTCCTTTCTGCTTTTCCTCTGAGGCAAAATAAAATAGGAAAATGAGGCCATACTCAGCATCCTATCTGAACCACTGCAGACTTGTGGAATCAATGTTCGTATAATTGCAATTGATAGTGATGCTCTTTCCTCCTGGACCCTCAGGTTCTGAGGACTCTGTTTCACCTCCAATTGGCAGCTCACCCTTATTCAGAAAGACAGTGTCACACAGTGGAGACTGGTCATTAAGGTAGCATCTCCCCAATTTTCCTTTAAATTTTGGGAATTAATACATCAAGCCAATTCCATGTCATCCCAACTGATCTCCTTTCTCTTCCTCTCAGCCCTGTGGGAGCATGTCGTCAAAGTTTCCCTGTCTCCATCTCCAGAAATCCCTCAACTTACTACTGAGTTGAAGATACAAAATAAGTAATATGGCTCCCAGAGTGTTTTACATCCTTTCCCCTGTGAGTGCTATGGTCTTGGGTTCAATGATCAAAAGTAAATTTCTCATGAATAAATTTCTAGTTTTCGTCCAGGAAACATAGGATGCTCAGCTTGGCTAACTAGCCAGTTAGTGTAACCTGTCACCTCTCACACTCTATATGTTGGCATTCACATATACAAAGCCAAGGCCCTTTGTGAGAGGTATTTCTGTTAAAGGTAGCACTGCCCTCCTTGGGCTACATTGAATATTGCTGGGGTCCTTCTAAAAAATCTTTTTAAATGAAAATTTGATAATCAACAAACACAAACATCTTGCTATACAAAAAAAAGGAATGAGAAAGAGGATTGTGTTAGAAGCTATTAACTGTTAGATATGGTTTGTTTTTAAGTAGTATTTATAATATGTAATTAATGAAGTAACAAAGTTGTTCTATTTGTACCACTTCTACCTTTCTGTTTTTGTTGTTTTTGTTTTCATCCAGGCATTACAAAAAAAGTTCTACTGGGATTTTGGGGGAGGTATTTATCTCTATACTATCCCAATCTCTGACTTTCTGAATAAAAGCCCTTTCTTATAATAAATATGTAATGTTCAGCAAAATAAATCAATATTCCTGAAAACTTTGGAAACACAGAGAGGTTTTCTTTTTTTTTCTTTTTTGATATGTTTATTGACTTTATTTTTTACATCACCTAGATTTCTCCATGTCTATCTCTCCTTCCCTCCTCCCAGGGGGCCATCCCTTATAAGGTGTTTTTTTTTAACAAGAAAGAAAAAAAAGAGGAAGAAGAAAAATAATCAATAAAACCACTTGATGCATTGAAAATTATGACATTATATGTAGTGTTCCATACCCATGTACACCAAACTTTGCGAATGACCTGAGGGAGATGTTTTCTTATATCTCTTATTTGGGACCAAATTTATTTTTTGTACAGGATGTCCCCAAAATCACTGAGTCTTTTGGGATGCCCTATACTTTTACAACCATCAGTTTTGATTGTTTTGTGGTTGTTCTTTCCATTTATATTACTGTAGTTATTGCATCCATTGTTTTCCTGGCTCTGCTTACTTCACTCTGCATCTGTTCATGTAGATTTTTCTATGATTCTCTGTATTCATCACATTCATTGTTTCTTATAATGCACTAATTTTCTATCATGTTCCTGTACCACAATTTGTTTAGTAATTCCCCAGTCAATGGAAATCTGTTTTGTTTCCAGTTCTTTGCTACACGAAAAAAAGTATTGCTATTACTATTTTGGTGTATATTGGAACTTTTTCTTCCTTTCTCATTGAGATATATGCCTAGCAGTGGAAGCTCTGAGCCAAAGGGTATGGACATTTTAACCACTTCATTTACATAATTCCAAATTTCTTTCCATAATGATTGTACCAATTTACAGCTCTATAAAATCATACGGTAGTGTGCTTCTCTCTCCATAACCCTTTCAACACTGGTTATTCCTGTCTTTCATCAATTTTGCCAAACTTTTTAGTGTGAGGTGAAAATTCAGGATAGTTTTTTTTTTGCATTTCTTTTAGTATAGTGATTTGTAGCATTCTTCAACATGGTTTTTAATAGTCTAATTCTTTTGAGAATTATTTGTTCATATTCTTTGACCTCTTATCTGTTGGGGAATGGCTTTTGGTCTTATAACTTTTTGTTAGTTGTCTATGTATCTTAGATATCAAATCTTTATTGATATTCAGTAAAATATTTTTTAATCATTTCTTTTTTTGCCCTATGTACATCAATTTTGTTTGTCCAAAAGCTTTTTGATTTAGCATATCAAAATTATATATTTCATCTATTGTAATTACTTCTATGAAAATGCATTCTTATTGATTGAAAAAAATTAAAAAGACTTCATTCCTCACCTATAGATATAAAAGGATATATCATTTGCTTTTCTTCTAATTGTTTTATGATATCATCTTTAAAATTTGGGTCAAGTATTCATTTTGCATTTATTGTGGAACAAGGTATAAGATGTTTTTCTAGGGCTAATTTATGTCAGGCTTTACTGTTTTTTTATTTTTAGCAGTTCTTATCAAATAGTTCTTTCGTAGGTAATCTATGTTTTGGGGTTTATCAGACCCTGGATTATTGATTGATATCAATTCTGATTCATACAGAGGGATATCTTCATCAATATTTTTCTGTCATTGAGTATTTGAAATTGTATAATGTGTGGAATTCTAATACTGGATGGAGAACATTAAGAAGGAATGTCCCTTCCCTCAAGGTGCTTCCATTGTTGCATGAGGTAGTCAATTTCACTTCATATGTGTGTGAGGGGATTCTTAAAGGAAATAAGGATGAAGCTGTGATCCTGTCCCCAGTAGACACTAGAAACATTTTAATACAAGATATGTAAGCTAATGAATAACAAGTTGTAAGGCAAGGGATCACTTCCCCTTCGCTATTGAGAGCATCACTACAGCAATGCACACACACACACACACACACACACACACACACACACACATAATACATATACTTTTTTTTTCCTCAAAGGCAGTTTAATTTGCTCAGTGAAAGAAAGTTGCTTTGCCGTTGCCTCTAACCTTCTGAATGTAAGAATTCCAAGTATCTAGAGCCATCCAAATATCCAGAAGCAGAATGATGGAGATGACTTTGGGTACCAAATGGAGAATTGCCTATTTCAAGTTAGAGGGCCCCACACATGAAGATACAACTAGAAAACTGAGTCTTGAAGAGGGGTGAGAAAATTTTTGAAAACATGAATCTTACTTGGTGTAGAAGACAGATAGTTTAGCCCAGTATCTATCTAATAACAATATTCCTAAAATAGGATTAGGCTCAGACTGACTCTAGAAACAAGAATTAAAAGAAAAGGTCTTTGAATATGAGAAACTAAAAAAAATTGAAGACCTTGAAGTTCAGTTATTTCAGACTCCTTTGACCCTAGCTGGGAATTTTTTGGCAAAGATACTGGAGAGGTTTGCCCTTTCCTTCTCCAACTCATTTTAGATATGAGAAACTGAGGCAATCAAGGTTAAGTGACTTGCCCAGGGTCACACAGCTAGAAAATATCTAAGGTCAGACTTGAACTCAAGAAGAGGAAACTTCTGACTCCAGGCTTGGCACTCTATCCAATGCACCATCTAGCTGCCCATCAAGACCTAAGTCCAACTATATATTTCCCTGTGTGAGATTTCTTGCATCTCTGTATTTTTATTTTTGCTCACTATTTAAAACTTATTTATTTTTCTCTTCAGTTACTTGCATTAAGAAACACTTTAAAAATGTTAAGGAATGGTTAATTTGTGAGGCAGCTAGGTAAGAGATAATATAGTGTAATTCAGACTGACTCTGGAGTCAGAAGCATCTAGGTTCAATCTTGCCTCCAATCTTGCCACCTGTGTGGTCTTTGACAAGTCACAACTTCCCTGAGTCTCAGTTTTCTCATCTCTAGAAGGGGAAATAAGACGGTTTTTGAGATCCTTTCCAGCTACATATCTATGATCCTAGGAGGGAAACTAGAAATCTGTATCTGCTTCTGCAGGTTGAAGGATGTCTGGATTAGAAGAGGGTTCATAATAAGTAAAAAAAAGATGAAACAAAGCCATGGAGGGACATGTTGAAAATGGATGCAGAGAACAGCCATGTTGTGCGATGACTAACTTTGATAGACTTAGTTCTTCTCAGCAACAAGGATCTAAGACATCTCCAAAAGTCTTATGTTGGAAAATGCTATCTACATCCAAAGAAAGAACTATGGAGTTGGAATGCAGATTGAAACATACTATTAGATATTTTTTTGTCTGTTTTGTTTTGTTTCTTCTTTCCTGTGATTCCTCTTATTGGTTCTAATTCTTCTTTACAACATGACTAATGTGAAAATATGTTTAATAGGGATATATATGTAGAGCCTATATCAGATTGCACACCATCTTGGGGACGGAGGGAAGGAGGGAGGGAGAGAAAATTTAAAACTCAAAAGCTTATGGAAGTGATTGTTGAAAACTAAAAATAAATAAATTGATTATATATGTTTATATGTAAAAAAAAGAAAAGAAAAAAAGAAATAGTCCCCAGACTGATGAAATCCATAGGCTTCTCCTTCAGAATGATGATCTTACAAAATTTTAAAAAAAGTTAAACAAACAAAAAAAAAGAAAACAGATTCAGGGACCTGTCCCAGGATTGAAGAATGTCTTCATGGTTACCATGAAGAGCTGCATAGCACAACATCCTCCTCAGTATTGGCTCCACTCCGAGTTTTGGGTTGAATTGTTAAATAGAATGGTCTCTAAGCTTCCAGATGCTCTCTCAGGCTCTCTTGCTTCAGTGCTCCAATTTGGAGTAGGGCTAGGAATAAAATGAAGGCCTGAAAATAAGAGCCAAATTCAATTACAGATTTCCAAGTTAGGGTTGGAATAAAACAGTGGTTAATGTAAATCTGTAGTCAGTCAATAATCAATAAACATTTATAAAGCACATACCAAATAGCTGGCACTGTGCTGAGGACTGGTGATACAAAGAAGGCAAAATGTCCCTCAAAGAACTAATGAACAAATGGGGAAACAACACACAAATAATTATGTACATAGAAGCTGGAACCTGATATAAGGAAGGTAATCTCAGAGGGATGGCACTAACGTTAAAAGGAACCAGAAAAAGGCTGAAAGGTAGAAGGGGCAAAAAGGAAGATTTAATAATCAAGAAAGTCAACTTGTGTAAAGAGTCCTAGTATGCCTTCATGGGGCGCCCTGGCAGCGAGTGTGCCTACAGCCCCAGATGCAGGGTTTGTGCATAGCCTGCAGGTGCCTAGGGATCACTGTGCCCTAACACCACAAAGGTAGGTGGCTGAGTCTCCAGGCTGGGAAGCTTTGACGTACAGGGAGCTGTAACGTTCCTGTAAGTTGATCACAGATTTCAATCTGCCTTCTTCTTTCATCCCTGAAGCCAAGTAAAATAGGGAGATGAGGCCTTTCCCAGCATCCTGCCTGAACCACTGGGAGCCTTGGGGAGTTTCTGTGAAGTTGCAGTTGATAGTGATGTTCTCTCCCTCCTGGACCCTCAAGGACTGCGGACTCTGTTCCACCTTCTGGAGGCAGCTCACCCCTGTGCAGAAAAACAATACCAGACTCAGGACTGACTGGTCATCAAGTCAGTATGTCCCACATTTTCCTTTTCTTTCCATAACATAAATAATAATTCCTATGTGAGCCAGAACAAGCCCCGTCTCTCCCTATTAATGCTGTGGAAAAAGTCCCCTCTTCCCATTTCCCCAAATCCCTCAACTCACAGCCCAGCTGAAGACACAGGATCAGTAATGAAATTCCTAGGAGCTTTTCCATCCTTCTTCTTTCCAGGGTCTGGGATATGGGTCCTCTCAAGTCCAAGGAAGTCTTTCTTTCTCACTCCTAAATATTTCTAGCTTTTCTGCCCCTGGGGAAACAGAAAAAATTTTCAGCCTGGCTGCTGAGCCAATAGGAGGCTGGGCTGTTATCTCACATACTTCACACAGTCCCATTCACAGACACACAGGTAAGTCAAGTCCCCCATGGGAAGTATTTCTATCAATGATAGTGCTGCCCCCCTCAGCCATAAAGAGAATTTCTATTGTTCAGGATTTTATTTATTTTAGTTTTTCCCCAGAAGTGATTTCCTGGATACTTTGGTCCTTTCATCACTGTTCTTAGCGTTTAGAGCTAGAGGGGATTTCCAGTATCATAACTTCTAATTTTTTGGCCATGAAGGGAGTTTAACTAGCTTATTAAAAAATTGCACATAGACTAAGGATTAGAATTGTAAACTGAGCCCAGGTCCTCTGATGGCAAGCTCTGTGTTCTTTTCACTGTATCACACTTATGATCACTGCATGTGTATTGAGGTCCTGTACCAAACATTGATGATTAGACTCAGGTAAAGATCATACAAAATGCTCTCTTCTGTCTTTCAGATCTTTGCAGTCTGGCAAAAGGGCTTCATATATGATGAAAGCCCTAGATAAAGCCCAGGAATGAAGAATTAATGTCCCTTGTCCTGATAGAGTCTCAATTCATTTTATTCCCCTGTAACTCACATTGTGGGCTCATCCATGATCAAGCAAATAGTGTTTTCCTTGTTGTAGACTAATTTAAAAATTTATTAATTTAAATATTTTGTGAGCTGAAACTTATTTTATAACTGATTGTAAACTACAAAGGGTGGGATACCTAAGCATCTCAGACTATGAAAGACAAGAGAAGGATGATAAAAAAGTGACGCGGTCCAGATAGAGAAGTGCTTTCCTGAGTCTTGGGACCCTATACTCAGAAATAAACTAGACAGCAAGTTAGAGAATGAGGACTAGACCACCCAAATCTGGCTGAACAATTTGTGGCATATGATCATAATGAAATACTGCTGTGCTATCGGAAATGATAAGTGCAATGATCTTAGAAAAATGTGGATAGACTTGCACAATAATGAAGAGTGAAATGAGCAGAACTAAGAGAATGTTGGATACAGTAACAGCTACATCGTTTTAAGAATGACTTTGAGTGACAAAGTCATTTTGACTATTACAAACAGGAACTATGAAGGAAGATGCTATTTGCATTCAGAGAAAGAACTGATAAATAGAAATATATATATATATATAATGATTTTACATATATGTATACATATATACATACATATTTATGTCTAATGGTAGCCATTTTTAGGGCAGGGACAGAGAAGAAAGAAAAAAAGAAAAAAAAGAAAGTTATATAACTTTAAGATATATTTAAAAGGAGTAGCACGTTGTACATAATAGATGGGCGGTTTCATGTGCAATCATTTTTTTTATTCTACTGTTTTATGGAAATGCTTGTTTTATTTCATAGGTTCAAAATAAAAGAAAAAAAGAAATGAAATCTGAAATCTTGGTCTAGCATTGACTCCAGGTAATACTGAGGAAGGGCCAATAGGAGAAAAAGAACCAAATGAAGAAATGATTGAATGAACATTAATTAAATGCTCACTATGTGTAAATCCATTGTGCTAAGTGCTACAGATACAAACAGAAAAGTTAAGACAATCCCTGCTCTTAAGAAAGTCACATTTTAGTGGGAGAGACTGATCATATAGGAGGATGTTTTAGATGCTAGTCAGATGGACAGGCCCCAGAGCCTTTAGGGTATAGCATCAGAGGAGATGGTAACAAATCCAATTTAATGTCATATCCACTGATAAATTCATATCAGTTTCTGAGGCTGAATGATGTGAAAATGCCAAGGACTTTGGTGGCCAGAACTTGCTTTCCTAGGTCTTGAGTAGCTGTGGCTGCAGAAGCAGAAGCAGTTGCCAGGCCACCCCTCAAGAGGGATTGAGGGCAAGGCTGGAAGCAAGGCTAGCGGTCTGGGATTGGGAGTGGGGGAGGTGCTGTTGTTGATGGAATTTAGTCAACAGTTTGTATAAATGGTGGTGACAAAGGTGGCACTTTTTCCATGATGATTTTTCCTCTCAGTGATGGCTGTAGGTCTTTGGTTGCAAGTAGAACCTGGGGCCTAGCAGGCACTGTCATTACTAAGGTTCTTGGATTTGGGGTCCTGGGCAATTTCTATCAGGGTCAGAGGGGAGGTGGTGGTAGAAGTAGCAATAGTGGTTTGATTTGCTTGGCACATACTGTCTGCTATCTCTGTCTCTCATAGTTCTTACTGTTTCAGTTAGGCTGGCTTGCCTGCCGCGTAGGTGGCAGATGGTCAGCAGTTGGTGGGTATGGTTGGCCCCTTCTCCACGGAAATTGCTTCTGTGGCTTGTAGGTTTTGGGGACTGAAATGGAAGCAGGACAGGCAGTCTGGTGGCAAAGCTATTTTGAAGGTTTTGGGGGTTAAGCTTCTGGGCTGTTTCCATCCAGTCCTCAGGGAAAGTGGTGATGGTGTTAGTTTGACTCTCCATACACAAAGGGCCTCCTATCTCTTCCTAGGGTGCCTTAATGCTTCTAAATCAAGGGAAGTTTTCATGAATTAGAAGAGCTATACCTTGGGCAGAAAGATAATGTCTGATGCTGGAGACTAATCGTCAATTGAGTATCTCCCAAATTTCCCTTTTAATTCTAGGAATTAAGTTGTAGAGAAGGGACTGATGAGAATCAGTAAAAGGATTCTTCTCTGGGAGCTTTCTACATAAATGAAATGGATGAGAATCCTGCTCCTTGTCCCAGTTCCTCTTTTTGTTCCAGTTCCTATCCTTAATTCTGGGGAAGAGGCATATTCAAGAAATCCCACACAAACCAGCCCGAGCCCTTGTTTCTCTACCTTGGCCTTGTGGGAAATGTCCCCTGATTCTCCCTGTTGCCATGTCCAATCCTCCACTCCCACTACCCTAACTCACAGCTCATCTGCAGACACAGAACCACTGCTGAGGCTCCTAGAAGCTTCATCATCCTCAGCAGACTCATCTAAAACTCAGATCTGGAGCCTGGGGCCCCAGTCAAAGGACCCTTTCACAGTTCAAAATTTTTTGAGTTTTTTTCCTGTTCCAGAAAACCCAGGATTTTCTCAGTTTGCCTTCCCAGCCAATCACACAGTGGTTTGTCATCTCACACACCATACAAAGTTGGTACCTCTCAGTAACAGATACACAACCAGGGCCCTGAATTGCAGCATTTTTAGCAATGATGGCCCCTTATCTTCTACCCTCAAACCCCATACCATACATAATAATTTCTGAGTCAATAAAGAAGTGCTCATTTGGAAGAAGGCCTGAATATCTGACAACACATTAATAGGAACCTAGGACCTCAAAATTGAAAGGGTCATATAATTGAATCCCTACCAAAACATGGATGTTCTCTATAATAGTTGGTAGTCATCTGGTCTCTCCTTGAACAATTTTAGTAATGGGAAATTCACTCTCTCCTGAGGCAATCTATCATAACTTTGGGTAACTTAAATTATATTTTTAAAAGCTTTTCTTTATTGCATGCTTCTGAAATCCATCTTTCTGAAAACTGTCGTCAATTGTCCCTAGTTCTCTCTACCCAGCTGGGTGGCACAGTGAACAATATGCTGGGCCTGAAGTCAGGAAGACTTATTCCTGAATTCAAACTTGCTTATTAGCTGTGTGGCCCTGGGAAAGTCACTTAACCCTGTTTGCCTCAGCTCTTCACCTATAAAATGAGCTGGAGAAGGAAATGGCAAGCTACTCATATCTTTCCTGAGAAAACCCCAAATTGGGTCACAAAGAGTTGGACACAAGTAAACAGCAGTAACAAAACCCAAGAAAACCATCTTGTTCTGTTGGTGAGGTTCTCAAGAATATGTCCTAAGCACTAGACCAAGATATAGGGCATTAAGAAGACATGGATTCTGTCCTGGAGAATACTACATTCTTATTTTCTAACTATTTGGCTTCACACATGAAAGGAAGCCTATGGGAACGCCTTGTCCTGATTGACTCTGTGCATTTTGGCTCATAGTATGTAACATATGTCCCAAGGACAGGAAAGGGATATTCCCTTTCTCTTCTTTGGAAATAGTATGGCATAAGTCTTTTTCTGAAAGGGAATTGAAATTGTTTTTGGAAAGAACAGGCATGTGGTCTAGAATGAGTTCTGGTTCAAAGCTTCTTGAGTCAGCAGGAAGCTTATTTCATGATCTGACATGAAATAAATAGGAAATGAAGAATAGCTCAGAAATTCCGTCTCCTTTTACACTAGGGATTCTTAACCTTTTTGTGTGTCATGGATCCCTTTGGCAGTCTGATGAAGCCTAGGCACCCCTTTTCAGAATAATGTTTCTAAACACAGAAAATAAAATACATAGGATTATAAAGGATGCCAGTTATATCAAAATACAGTTATTAAGATATTAAAAGCAATAGTTCATGGATTCCATTACTTTACACTACTTTACACTGACTCAGAAAATATTGTCTTTGGAAGAGTTTGTTGTGTATGTATGAACATGATTATCATCTTGAATTTTGCTCGAAGGGGAAAAAACTCAATTCATTTCTATTCTTTCTTGTCTCCTCATTTGGTTTATATCCTTTCTCCAGGAAAATGACCCTCATTTTAGTATTTCTAAGAATTTTCTGTAATATGGCACAAGAAATTATTTTTTTACGTGGTAAGTTATCAGTGATAGGATTCCAAGAGAGAATTGCCAGAGTGGGTGGTAGTGGGGAAGAGAACCTTAAGGACTCTGCCATCAATGTGTAATGACCATATTCTGACACCAGAGGGCACTATCTCAGGTAAACCAAACATTTCTCTTGGTTAGGCTCTCAGGACAACTGGATGGCAATCAGCCCTTTCCTCTTCCTCTGCATTAGTGGTTCCAGGTCCTGCCTCTGTCTACGAGTGTATTTTTTTTGTTCACCAATTAATTAATAGAACAATAGGTTCATGGATTTAAAACTGGAAGGGACCTTCAAAGTCATGCAATCTAGCTGCCTCATTTTAGTGATGAGAAAACTGAGAGGCCCAAAAAGTTGAAGTGTCTTGTCCAAGGTCACATAGTGGTCGATCTGAGGTGTGGACCT